AGAAAACTTACAAAAGTACTTCCATATATACTGTCTGACGTTATATTGCTTTTACTTTTTTTAAAGTACAAATGACCTTTAAAAAATGAATCCTTTGGGGGCCGGCCGAGTGGCTCAGTTGGTTAAGAGTTGGCTTAAGAGCGTGAGCTCTGAGCAACAGGGCCGCCAGTTCGATTCCCACATGGGCCAGTGACACTGCGCCCAAGCTGAGCTGTCGCTGAGCTGCCAACAGGTGGCATGACAGCTTAGCTGGTGTAACAACAAGATTGCCTGTTCGATGGTGGGCTACGCCCACCCTCAACTAAGACTAAACTTGGCACCTTGGCTCAGTGGATAGAGCGTGCGCTCTTAATAACAAGGCTGCCAGGTTTGACTCCCGCATGGGATGGTGGCTATGCCCACCTGCAACTAAGATTGAACACAGCACCCTGAGCTTAGAGGCCACAAGCTGCCAATGGGAAGCCAGATGGCGACTGGCGCCCTCCACAACGAAGACTGAAGAACAACAACTTGGCTGGTCCCCTTCCCCAATTCCCCAACACTGTTCCCCTCCGCCAATTCCCCAATAAAATCTTTAAAAAAAAAATAGATCCTTTAGTTCATAATTTTCCTGAAGGAACCTTATGAGAACGCATTCACTGCCACAAAGTGCATAGCAGGAACATAGTTCAGTGCAGAATTCAAACCCAACTCTGCAGACTTGTTGTGTGACCTTTACTAAGGAATATAACCCGAGCTTAAATTTCCTCATCTTTAAAAGGATATTACCAATATCATACAGTTGATTATTGATTAAAAATAGAGATCTGTAAAACACTTTAATAGTTCCATTTCTCCAACACAAGTTCATGAAGGGCCTATTCAGTTGTGTTTCAACAGTTGTCCAGACAATGGGATGTGCCCCTACTTGGAATTTAGTATAGTGATATAGGATATAAGATATTCTCAATAAATTCGTCAACTTTCAAAAATTTTGACCTCTTTATTATTCTTTTTTATCTAAAGAGATTGAAATAGTAAGTATTTTCGAATGAAATGTTTATAATAAGGGGAAGTTTGAGTTAACTTAAAAACCCATAAATTCCTTAACAGTGCTACCTTGAACGTTCTTAACTAATAGATATTATGGAATTGATCTTCCTTACTGCTCAGTTGCTTACTGAAAGGAATGAAGCTTGCTCAGTCCAGATGGCTCAGTATTTTCTCAATCTCTCCTTGCACAGGAGCAGCGTGAAGCTATTTCCCTGGCCCGGTTTTCACTACTATGTCCCAAAGGAAGTATCAGGAGCTGCAGAGTTGGCACACACGCATGCACGCGCACACACACACCACAGTCAATAATAATAATAATAATAATAATAATAATAGTAATAATAATGATGATGATGATGAAGGAAGGAAGGAAAAACATGCAGAAACGAAAACAAAAACATTTACACTAAGACGTGAACTATCATCCTAATACTTATTTAGGAAAGGGACACTTTACACAGCCTCTTAAAAGAAAAAGCCATTTGTCAATATATTTTTTAAAACGCTAAACCGGAAGAAATAGGTTTTAAGTAAAACTGTGTCTGTCTCTAACTAACACCGAGGCTTGAGATTCTTTTCCATGTGCCCCCCACCCCCCACCTCTACCAGCTCACCAAGAGCCCAAGCCTCCTCATTATATCAGAGGGCAAGGAAGAAATTCAGGCATGAGAATCTCAGAAAAATAAATTCCATGATGGGTCAGGGGACTCGCAAGTCAGAACTGTGGGGCCAGGGCTGATCCCCTTTTGCTAGGGAGCTAGGAGGGGCGCCTTTTACCTTTCCTCGATGAAGGCGACGCGGAATTAGTGGCAGAGGTGGAAGAACCAAGCACCTTCCTTGGAGCTCGAGAAGCCACCACTGCGGAGAGAGGAAAAGGAGGGCATTCAGAAGGGGGCCGTAAGGTTCCGGCACCGTATCTCGGAATCACGTTCTCACCACAGTCCCCGACCCAACCGCTTAGAGAGTAGAGCCCCGCGATCCTTAACTGCAGGATAAGGAACCCTCCCCTGCCCCCCGCTGCTTCTTCCTCCTGGTTAAGGGGCCGGGCCACTGTTTCCGGCCTGGCTAGACCAGTTTGGCTCACAGGGCCGCGGGGAGCTCCAGCTTCTCCCACCACCTGCCCTCCTCTACTGTGCTTGCCTGCCTCACCTTTTCTGTAGGTGCCTGGGACTCTGTCTGCTTTAGTCCGCACCATGTTCAGACGCGAGGAGATGACAGCAACCAACTGGATATTCCAGCCGAGGGTGTTTTTACCCGACAAGAACCGGAAAACGAATCTCCCGCCACAGTTTATATTGGTCTCTTTCCCGCGCGCTCCGTGGACTCTCCCGCGCCGCCGCTCCCATTGGTTTCGCGCTGTCCTCCCACAACCAATCGCCAGTGTCCATTAATGACAGTGGCGAGTCTTGGGGCACTGCTGACCCGTCTATCAACTCCCAGAAGCTTGTGATTCGTATCTGCCCCAGGTGGGCGGTGCCGGAGCGCTTTCCTGGGGTGCCCCGTGTGTGGATGCCAAAATTTGGAACTAGGGAAATCGGCCTGCTTTAGAAAAGAAAACCCAGCAAGGACAGAGAGGAGTATTCTTCCATTTCCTCAAAAGTTACCATAGGATTAAATCCATAATGATTGACTCATGGAAGTGAAACCTGAAATAAAGCGGACTTTTTCACGTAAAGCAAAATAAAGAGAACTTTAATACATACGGCAGGGACTCTCTACAACGTCCCTAACTAAAACAATTCTACGGAATGGGAGAAAAGGAAGCTAATACAATTTATTTACAGGGGTTTTCTACGTTTTTAGGATGGTGTGAAACTAAAACAACAAAAAACAGTGAACTGTATGCAGATACACACACAAAAGAAACAAATTAATAAAACGTCTTCCTGAGACCTATATAGTCTCAAGAGTTGTTTAAAAATATGCCAAATGTGCTAAGGGTACATCCCTGGCATAGCGCGCATAATTCTAGAATGGGAACTCATAATTATTTTCTAACCCTATCCCTTTCTTCCAATTACAATATCCGCGGGGAGTGATTTTCACTCTCTGAATACCATGCATAGGGGCCGGCTGAGTGGCTCAGTTGGTTAAGAGCTCGCTCAAGAGTTTGAGCTCTGAGCAACAGCGGTTCGAGTCAGCCCGAGCTGAGCAGCCNACAGCAACTTGTCTGTTCCCCTTCCCCCAACTCCCCAGCACTGTTCCCATCCCCCCAATTCCCCAATAAAAAATCTTAAAAAAAAAAAAAAAAAAGAAGATGTAAAGAAAATACACCATGGAGTTAGTTTTGGTTGTTTGTAAGTGATTGGTTTTCTTTATTTTCCAACTTTTATACATTGGTTATATATTTCTTGTGGAGATTGGGCTAGTAGTTTTTTGAGGGTTAATGGATTTTTAAGTTAGATAAACCAACATGGAATTTGCTTTTTGAAAAAAAAAAGGCTATAGAAAATAGTAAAAATTAAAGAATAAAGACAGGAAGTTCATTGTTAATAATGATGCACTTATCTTAATTGGAACTGATCCTCTCTAAGTGACTAATACCGTACTTTGCCTTGACGTTTGAAATTTGGGAGAGATTTTGAATAAGAGATTGAACAAGTTTAAAAAACCCTCTGGTCTGTATTTTCTTATCTGCTCGAGGAGAAACTAAAGTTACTCAATATCCTGCCTTTTATTTTCAAGAATATAAATATTTTCTTTATATTTCAGAATATAAAAACTTACCTTCTCTTTTTTTTCCCTAAGCCACTGCTTCCTGCCTCTTCAGGAATCTGATTCTCTTTTTCAGAATCTTTAGGGGACAGTCCGAAGAATTCTCCAATTCCTTTTTGCCACTTGGGAGTTGGACGCACACAAACTGGATTCCCTCCTGCGTACTTATTTTCAGCTATAAAATATAAACAAACATAGCTAAATAAGAACCAAGACTAGCTGTTCCTTAAAGGGAAACTTAACTTTTAAACATCAAATCTAAAGAGTATTAATGGTACTACATCATCTTAAATTAAAGAATTAGAAAATGTGACAAAATAAAGCTGTATTCACTCAATAGTACATTATACAGTATTATAGTATAATGTATAATACTTTACTATGGTTATGCTTTAGCCTAGAGAAATATCATCAATGGAATTTTTAAAACTGGAAAATATTTTTCATATTTTGTCTACAAGCAGAGCTATTCAAATAGTCTTATGTACTGTCATAAAAGTTTGAAACACTTTTTTCTAATATAAGGTAGCACCATGTAGTATAAATTGCCAAATTTTTACTAAATAAGATCATTTAGTCAATCTATTTTTTTTTTAACGAGCCATCCTGCCACCTGTTGGCAGCTCAACGGCAGCTCAGCTCGGGCTGTGAGTCAAACCGGGGACCCTGTTGCTCAGAGCTCAAACTCTTGAGTGAGCTCTTAACCAACTGAGCCACTTGGCCGGCCCCTTAATAAAATCATTTAGTTAAAGCACATATATAAGGCCAAGCAAGTAGTATACAGCAAAGTGAAAATTTCCACATAAGTAGGTTTAATTTTTCAAAGCACTTGGCTCCTTTTCAGTTCATAAGGTAAGTCCAATTCCTGATTATTTTAAAACAGTAATATAAAGGAAAAATTGAGGGGGAAATTCCTGCCCTTTTTATAAAGTAATGACTAGAATACCAAGAGAAAAAAAATATTAAGTTA